TCCAATCCGTCACCCAGTTCTGTCTATTCTGCCTCCAAAATAGGCATTGAGCTTCTCTACTGCTCTCCACCATCCTCATTCAAGATGCTGTCGCCTCTCAAGGGGGACTTTGACAACTACCCTCTAAATCGGTCTTCCCACTTCCATCTGGCCTGCCACCCTCCTGCACAACAGCCCAAGAGACATCTGACCGTGTCATTCCCCTGCTTAAAACGCTTCACTCGTATCTGTCATCATTGTGATAAAGCCCAAGGCTCCCACTGAGATCTACAGGGTCCTGCCTGACCTCTGTCACCTCACCTGGGACCGTCTTCCCCATCACTCTGCACTTGGGCCACACTGGCCCTCCAGTGTGTCCAGCTCTCCCTTGATGCCTCACTCCGGCTTGCCATCCCTCAGCGCCCTCCCTCAGTCCTTTAGTTCTCACTTTACATGCCACCTGTTCAAAGAAGCTGTCCATTGTAGTTATCTTTTGCTGCAAGACAAACCATCCCCAAACTCAGTGGCCTGGAACAACGATCACCTTATTATTTCTCATGATTCTGTGAGTTGCCTGGGGCTCAGCTAGGTGGATCTTCTGCAGGTCTTGCTTGGGCCTCTTGCAAGTGGCCGCAGCTGGAGATGAAATATTTGAGACATCTTTACTCACATCTGTCTGGCATCTTGGCAGGAACATCTCACCTGGGACGCCAGGATGGCTGGGCCTCGCTGTGCTGTCCCAGGACCTCACTCCCCACAAGGTGGCCTCTCCCTGTGGTCCCTCCAGTAGGATGTCTAGACTGATTTAAACCTGGAATGATCCCATTAAAAGCCTTGTTAGAATAGAGAGCTGTGGATATGTATATTCATTAGTGTGGATAATGGATGGTTCCCAGGAGTGACCGTGTGGTACAGTGGAAAAGAACATGTCTTTGGAGTCCAAAGTTCAAATCCCACCTATACCATATGTGACTCTTGCTTATTAATTAAGGTGCCCTTGGTTGCTAATGATAGAAATAGATTCTAGCTAGCTTAAGCCCAAAAGGGGAATTCGTTAAAATGTATTAGGCAGGGTTCTTCAGCAAAACAGAACCCACAGGATATGGACAGATATATAGAAAGAGATTTATTATGAGGGATTAGCTCAAACAGTTATGAAGGCTGAGAAATCTCATGATCTTCCCTCCACAAGCTGTAATTCCAGGAAAGCTAATAGTGTAGTTCCAGTGCAAACCCACAGGCCAGAGAACTAGGGGGTTGTGTGTTAGTGTGAGTGTGAGTGTGTGTGTGTTTGTTGGGAGGGAGTGAGGTTTGCTGTGTAAGAATTAGTCTAAGTCAGAAAGCCCAGGAACCAGGAGTGCTGATGTCTGAGAGCAGGAGAACATGGATGTCTCAGCCCAAGCGGAGGGAAAACACACCCTTCCTCTGCCTTTTTATTCTATCTGGGCCCCCAACGGATTTGATGCTGCCGACCTGCATTGGCGAGGGCCATCTTCTTCAGTCTACCTATTCAAATGCTAATCTCTTCTGGAAACACTCTCACAGTCACACCCAGAGATAACATTTCATCAGCTACCTGGGCATCTCCTAGCCCAGTCAAGCTGACCCATAGAATTAACCATCACAGATCACATGGAAGGGTTGACAACCACGACTCAACAGTTGGAGTCAGTGGGCCTTTTTCCAGAGTGCTACCATTAACCCGTCTCCACCTCAATGATGCCTTATCTTTGTGTCTCTCATTCTTTAGCTCCAAGTCTCACATCTCCCTTTCTGTCAAGATTCTGTTTGACCCAGCTTGGTTCCAGTATCAAATTCCTTGGTTGACCAACCAGCTGAGGCCAGGGGGTATAGTCACATGGTGTAGGCCAGGATGTGTAGGGCCCCCGAGGATGAGGTACACATCAGAAAATGGGGAATCAGTGGGAGGCCACTAGAGAACCCAAGATGGAATGGCTGTACTGGTTCAAGTTACTGGAAAGCCTCAGTTTTCCTCACATATAAAGTAGGATCCTCTACTTCTCAAATTTTTATAAGGATTAATCAAAGTAATGTCAAAAAGTAACAAACACATAGTAAACACTAAATGTATGGTGTCATTATTGGTTTTAAAACAGTATTTTTGTTTTGCTATTTATTTATTTTTTGAGATGGGGTCTTGCTTTTGCTCAGGCCGGTCTTGAACTCCTGAGCTCAAGCGATCCTCCCACCTTGGCCTCCCAGAGTGCTAGGATTAAAGGTGTGAGCCACCAGGCCCACCTTTAAAACAGTTTTAATACTAGTGAAGAAATGAATAGACTGGTAATAGCTTCAAAACATCATCATGGTCTTAAAGGAAGGTTCTGGGCTTATCTTATACATATCTCGCTCTAGCCCTGGAATCAGCCATTTCTCCAAGGAACACTTGTTCCTTTTCTAAAAAATGGTATTCAGATGCCAAGACCTGGTTCCTAGGTATGCTCACTGCTGCTAACATGTCAGTTCTTTCAGGTGCTGTCGGGGGACAGAGCTGGGGAACACACACACCCATTTATATGTACACTTATTTCTGTGCCACTGTGTGGAAAATCATGAGTTCGCACTGATACCTTCAATCCCAGTCCAACAACATAGGGTTCGTTCTGGGTGTCTCCTTGTCATATTTGTTAATTTCCTGATTTTGATGGCTGTATTGTGGTTATGAGGGACAATGTTCTTATTTGGAAGAAATACACACTAAAGTGCTTACCCAGTGAAGGGGCATAAAGTCAGCAATGTATGCCCAAACGATTCAGGGGAAAAAGAAACAGTTCTTTGAGCCATACTTGCCACTCTTCTATAAGTTTGAGATTTCTGAAAATACAATTAAAAACAAACACTTCTCGGAGGCTGAAGCAGGAGGATCACTTGAGCCCAAGAGTTCAAGGCTGCGGTGAGTTATGATCGCAGCAGGGCACTGCAGCCTCGTGACAGGGTGAGATACTGTCTCTAAAAAAAAGTGAAAAAAGAAAAGAAAAGAATGAAAAACAAACAAAATCCTACAATGAATAACCTCATGGATGTATAATTTCCTCACACCGGCAGGCAAATTACCAAAGGGAGAAATGTTGCATCAGAGGGCCTGTGCATTTGTAATTTTAATGGATGTTGTTCCAGTTGCCCTCCATAGTGGTGATTTACATAAACCAATTTACCAATTTACATAAACCCCCACCTGGACTGAACAAGAGCCCCTACTTTCCCTTCCCTAAGATAGTGTTTTATCAAACTTTACATTTTTTACAAATAATTCATTTTGTGAAAGCTATTCTCTTGTGTAGTTTTAATTTGAATTACTCTTATTATGAGGGAGTTTGAGCTTCTTTTCAGAGACTTAAACACCAGTGTGTTTCCTTCTCCTTGAGTGCTGGTGTGCAATCTTTACCCATGTTTTTGTTGGTTTATTTTTCTTTTATTATTATTGATTTAGCATCTCTAGATATCATGGCAATTAGCCCTATATGAGTAGCAAATATTTTTCCCCATTTGTCTTTTTACTTTTTTGAAGATAATTTTGGCATGCAGATAGGCTTTATTATGTAGTCACATTTATCATTCTTTTATTTTATAGCTTTCTGGGTTTCGTTTTACACCAACAAAGGATTATTGAAAAGTTGTTTCTCTATGGTTTCTTCTAGTACATGATTTTAAAATTTATTATACATTTAGATATTGGACCCATTTAAAATTTATACTCATCCAACTTCACTTTTTTTTTTTTTTCTAGAAGGCAACCTCATTTATTGAATAATTTCTTTTTCCTATGTGGCTTAAAATGCTGCCTTTACTGTACACTAAATTTCTGTAACTACTGCATTTGGGACTATTTCTGAGACTTCTGGTCCACAGATCTTTCTCCCCTCTCCCTCTCTTCTCACTTATGTCTCTGGCTGCTTCTCCCCCACCCCTTTCTTGTGGCGTTCCCTATTGTTCTATCCTCGTACATCTTCCCTCGGTTCTCCCAAGCTGATTTCCCCAGGCTTCCTGGTTTCGATACCAGATGCGTGTTGAAGGTATATGATATTTATACCTCTACCTGTCCCTGTCCCCTGATCTCCAGACTCATGCAGCAACTGTCCCCTCAGTGGCTCTACTTGGAAGCTTAATCTGCATTTCAAAAATAATATTTCCAAATGCAAACTCCCCATCCTCCCCAGAACCTGCTGCTCCTACAACATTCTCCCCTTGAGAAACGGCAGCTCCATTTTCTCTGTAGCTCCAGTCAAAACTCTTCAAGTCTGGACTCCACTTCTATCCTCTCCAGCTACTCTATCAAGTCCTGTCCACTCTGCCCCCCGATAGATCCAGAATACAACCAGCTCCCCAACCTCCACCTCTGCCCCCATACCTGTCTTTGCCCTGGGGTAGGGCAGGAGCTTTTCTTTGTGGCCCCAATCCCACCCACTGACCCCATGTCCATTCTCCTTAGCAGCCAGAGTGATCCTTTTAAATGTAAGTCAGATCATGTCTTCCTCTGCTCAAAATTATGCAGTGGGTCTCAAAGTTCCACAAAGGCCCCCGTGGCCTACCTGACCTTCCCCCATCTAACTCTTAGACCTTAATCTTCCTCCTTGCATCCATTCTCTTGGTGAGCCCCAGGCACCCTGGCTCCCCTTCTGCTCCTTGAATAGGACAAGAAGACTCTTGCCTCAGGGCCTTTGCACAGGCTGTCTCCTCTACTTACAATGCTCTTTCCCCAGCTACACATATGGCTCTCTCCTTCACCTTCTTCAGGTCTCTACTCCAATGTACCTCTTTTGAATAATTCTATATAAACTTGTAACTTATACATCTATAAGACTTACATAAACTGTAGACTTAAGTGGACAGAAGTTTATCATATATGACACTTGGACATACATTTAAAAAATAAGCAAAATAAATTGGCTAAGGTAGTCCTAAAATTTCTTAATATTAAGAGTCTGTCTCTTCTTAATCATATTTTGATTCTGACTACTGATGTTCTTGTTTTTCCAAACAACATTGTCCTCTGTGCCTTCAAGACTGCTAGTTTGATGAGGCAGCCTTTCTTAAAGGACTACCCTACCATCATCTCCAGGATTTCTTCCAATTTGCTGACAATCTTGGCTGGTGCTGCTGCATATGGACAGGTGACAACAACTATATCCTGACTGCCACCTGAATGGCAGGGTTGTAAGAAATACTGCAATTTCTGAGATTTTTTTTTTTCTTGCTAGCCACTAGACAACCATGGAAATTTCAGAGATGTTAAATTGTAAAAACAACAAGAAACAGAAAACAGAATTAGTGAATGATGGTACTATCTGGTAGGGCTAATATCTGTTATTTTCTTTTCCAAAATTTTTTTCTGGTTATTCTTGCTAATTTTTATCTTATGAGTAGCTAAAGTCAGGAAATCTTATTAATACAAATGATTGATAATGAATGACAAGCAAATAAATGATAATAGCAAATAGCAGCACAATCAGAACCAGACCTAATCACTTGGTTAATTATTTCATATATCAATTATAAGAGCCTTCTGCCTCAGTGTGGAATTAAATACTTGCCAGTTTCTCCCATCCCATGCTCTTGGCAGACATTGCTAATCAATCAAGGTTCTGTTTTTCACTGATACCAGAGGAGGCCTTAGACGCTTTCTCAGCACGGCATTCCAGGTAACCATTACCAGTTGATTAGAGGTGGCACATGGGGGATTAAATCCCCCCAAGCCAATAGTCACCCAGGACATGTGAAGGTAAAAGGCAGAGAAGTCAAAACCTGTTATCAGTTCTTCACCAAGGCGGGATGCACACTCTGAATAGCACTACCCCTCCTTTGGGTATCGACACACTATCCCTGTATCAATTGGAGGATGTTCACAGACTCCCCCTACCCTGCACACACACAGGCCTGCTGAGTCCAAGGCCCTGGATCAAACTACTCATAAGCAGAGCCACGTAAGACTCCTCTTCAGCGAAGCTGAGAGGCCAGCAGCTATTTTAAGTTCCACAGTGTTCTCCTTTCCCGCCCTAATGTATTCAGCAGCCTCCACTGAAGCTCCCTGATTCACACTGAAGAGTAAATGACTGCGGCCCAGGCAGACCCTCCCAGGGCCCCCACACCTTATTTTAAGCAGTGCTTCTAAATCACCTGGGCATCTGGCTGCAACGCGGGCCGACTGAGCAGGCCTGGGCGTGGGCTCGGCGATGCTGGCTCACGGACTGGAGAAGCAAGGCGCTCCGTGTATTCGCTCACTCAGGCTGTGCAGCAAAGTAGCATAGTCTGGTGGCTCAAACAACAGAAATTTGTTTTTCACAGTTACAGAGGCTGGAAGTCCAAGATCAAGGTGGCAGCAAGGTAGTATTTATGATGAGGCCTCTTCTCTTAGCTGGTAGGCAGCCACCATCTCGCTGTGCGCTCGTGTGACCTGTTCCTAGTGCAAGGGAGGAGACGGAGTGAGCGCTCCGCTCTCTTTTTATAAAGACACAAATCTTACCCGATCACAGCGCCACCCTTGAGACCTCATCTAACCTTAGTTACTTCCTTAGAGGCCCCATCTCCAAATACAGCCACCCTGTGGGGTTAGGGCCTCAGTGTATGTGTCCCACCAGGGGGACACAGAGTTAAGTCCATGACTGAGGAACAGAACGGGGGTGGGGGGGACGTCCTACTTTGTCAGGTCACTGTGGAAAGTGAGTATTCTCAGGACACCCACACCCGGCCTGTCCGCAACACCTGCAGCCAATCTGGAAGATTTCTCAGTGACTAAGGCCAGCAGTGTTGTGCTGCTGGCAGGAAAGATCCATTGTCTAATTATGGACCTCGGCATCTGAGAGTTGAGGGGAGAAGCCAGTTTTCAATTCATTTTAACAGAGCTTCTCTCTGTGGCAATTCCAGCCAAATAAGCCGACTCTGCAGGTTCCAGGCGGAGAGGGCTTTGTGCGTGGGCTATATTTAGTGCCCAGGTGGCAGGTGGACATCTGCCACGCTGAGCCCAGCACTGCTGTGCTCACTGCCGCAGCATGTCAGGGTGACTTCCGAGGGCTTGTGTGGGCAGCGTGGAGGCTCCCATGGCCAGCCACCTCCGCCCTGCCCTGGATGGCTTTGGAAAAGCTGCCTCAGGTGGCACTATGCCTTTTTATGGGCACCATGCCCTAGGCCTACTGGCTTTTTATTTTTTTTATTTTTTTTTTTTTTGAGACAGAGTCTCACTCTGTTGCCCAGGCTAGAGTGAGTGCCGTGGCGTCAGCCTGGCTCACAGCAACCTCAATCTCCGGGGCTCAGTGATCCTACTGCTAATTTTTTGTATATATATTTTTAGTTGGTCAATTAATTTATTTTTATTTTTGGTAGAGACGGGGTCTCGCTCAGGCTGGTTTCGAACGCCTGACCTTGAGCAATCCGCCTGCCTCGGCCTCCCAAAGTGCTAGGATTATAGGCGTGAGCCACCGCGCCCGGCCCCTACTGGCTTTTTAAAGGGCTATCGACATGCTATGGTTTGAATGTGTCCCCCGAAAAGCATATGTTGGAAACTTAATCCCCAATGCAACGGTGTTGAGAGGTGGAGCTAAGTCTTCCTTTGTGAAAGGATTAATGCTGATTATAAAACGGTTTGAGGCTGCAAGTTCACTTTCTTGCCCTCTCTCACCTCTCTGCCTTCCACCATGGGAGGGTACAGCAAGGAGGCTCTCGCCAGAGGCAGGTCCTGGATTTTGGACTTCCCAGCCTTCCGAAGGGAGAGCCGATAAATTTCTGTTCAATAGAGATTGCCCACTATCTGGTATTCTTTTATAGCAGTAAAAACAGACTAAAACAAGGAAATATTTGAAACCTGAATTAAAAATTTATTGGCTTCAAGGGATAAATTTCTAAATTGAATTTAGTAAATGTCAACTGAATGTCCATAAAATGTCAATGGTCATCTATGATTCAACTCTACTGTTGTGTAATATATATCTAATAACTATACAGTTATTGTATAATATAGCATTTATATATAAAAGGATAATATGAATAAGTTATTTTTAAAAGGCATAAAAGCCCTTTCAAATTTTCTAGAGCAAAGAGATATAGTTAATCTGGGCTATGGGTGCATTTTCATGTTTGGTATGATATGGTGGAAGGCCTTGCCCAGGTATGTCCTCTGATGACCACAGAGACCGTGGCCCTCACACAAGGCCTGGTTCCCGCCCCACTTATGGCCATGTTTTCAAGGACACTCAGCTTGGCCCATATGGTCTAAGAATCACCTGGGCTCAATGCTCCACAGAAGACCAGTGTCATCCAGAACTCTCTGCAATAATGGGAGTGCTTGTTAAAAATGCAATTTCCTTACCATAGTACTGATATTTTTAAAAAATAAAAAAAAATAAAAAAAAATAAAAAAAAAATGCAATTTCCTGGGCCTCAGGAAATACTGGATCAGATTATCTGGAGGAGGGCCCCAGGAAGTGTACTTTTAGCAAGCTCCCTGGTGATTCTGATACACAGTAAGCTGTATGAACCAGAGGTCTAAGGGGTCTGCTTCCTGTTTGGCAAAGAGCTGAGATGAGATCGTGAAAAGCCAATCTCAGCGCATGAAACCAGGACACTCTGAAGGTTCATGGCAGAGGGCTGGCACCAGACTCAGGATCCAGGGAAGAGGTTTTGAGCCAGATGAAACATCAGGTAAAGCCGCAGACATGGGTTTGTGCCCTCTCTGGCTCCTGAATTCTCCCACATGTGCCAAGCCACTCAGGGCTCAGGGCTCAGGATTCAGGCCCTGGCAAGAGCTCTTTGGAGCTGGATTAAATATCCACAGCAGGATCAAAGGGATAGACATGGGGGTGTGGGTGGGGGAGGGAAGATATGTACTCATTTATTCAGGGTGCATTCATTCATCCAATATTGATTGAGCACCTCCTCTGCCCCAGGCACTAGGCCTTGGCCGTACAGCAGTAGGCACAAATGGATATTCTTACTTGCCTTGTGGGGCATGCAGAGATCTGGCACAGCTTCTGGGCAGATGGTGACAGGCCTGCTTGGAACTACTAGGTGTTGCTGTGAAGTGAAGGCGGGGTCATTGGCCACAGGAAGGGGTCTGTCTTAGTCTGTTTTGTGCTACTATAGCAGAATACTTGAGGCTGGGTAATTTATAAAGAACAGAGATTTATTACTTTGGGTTCTGGAGGCTGGGAAGTCCAAGGTCAAGGGGCTTGCATCTGGCAAGGGCTTTTTTGCTGCATCATAACATGGTAGGAGGTATCACATAGGCAAGAGAGAGAGAGAGAAAGGGAGAGAAGGAGGGGGGAGATGAGGGGAAGAAAGGAGAGGGGAGGGAAAGGGAGGGGAGGGGAGGGAAGGGGAAAGGAGAGACATGGAGAGAAGAAGGGAGCCAAATATCTTTATCAGAAATTCACTCCCACTCCTGTGATAACAGTATTAATCCATTCATGAAGGCAGAGCCCTCATGACCTAGTCATGAGGTTCCACCTCTCAACACTGTCTATTTTTTCTAGTTTTATTTTTTCATTTATTTTTATTTGGCATAGCCATGGAGTATAAGTGCAGTTTTGCTGCATTGATACATAGCACTCCAGTAGAGTCATGGCCATCAGTGCATCCATCACTGGAGCACATTGTACCCACCAAGCAACCTTCCATAATCTACCCGCCATCCCTCTGAGTCTTTCCATTGTCCATCATTCCACACTCTGCTTCCAAGTGTACACATTATTTTGTTCCCACTTATAAATGAGAACATGTGGTATCTGTCATTCTGTGTCTGAGTTGTTTCACTTAAGATAATGGCCTCCAGTTCCATCCATGTTGCTGCAAAAGACATTTTATTCTTTTTTATGGCTGAATAGTATTCCACTACATATATATACACACCACCTTTTATTTATCTAATCTTTAGTTGATGAACACTTAGGTTAATTCCATATCTTTGCTGTTGTGAATAGTGCTTTGATAAACATACAAGTGCAGGGTTTTTTTAAATATATTCTTTTCAATTGGGTAGATAACCATTGGTGAAATTGCTGGAGCATGTGATAGTTCTAATTTACATTCCCACTAACAGTGTATAGAGTCCTCTTTTCTCTATATCCTCATCAACATCTGTTATGTTTTATCTTTTTAATAATAGCCATTCTGATTGATATAA